TGCTGCATCACTGCTGAAGCCACGTGTTCGCTGTTTATCATCAGGAGGAGGAGACAGAGCAGCTCTCTCTCATTTTGTGTAGTCGAGCAGACAGACACACAAGCCTGCAGCCTGGATCAGCCTGAGGACGCACAACAACAGCAACAGCAACAGCAACAGCAGCAACAACAACAACAACAACAACAGCAACAACATCAACAACAGCAACAACAACAGAACCGGCACACAGACTCCAGCAGCACAGGTACCGTAGCGTTCCCTCAGTCCGTCTGCAGCAGAATGTTTAAAGTTGATGCAGCTCTCACAGTGAGACCGTCGGTTCTGTCGGGCTCTGGTCGCCCTGCAGGAGCGTTTGTTCCCTTTAGAATCACTTGGACTCAAGTTCTGCTTCTAGATGCTCACGTTTAACCCTCAGAACTCCCAGCGGCAGCAGCAGCAGCAGCAGGTTCTGGGCGTTTTCACTCACTGTGGCTGTTTGTTCTCACTGCAACATAAAGTCCTGCAGCTCTGAGGACAGAACGAGGAGAGACGGGTTCTGTCAGTAGAACACAGAACGATGCAAGTCAGGAAACAGGAGGTGCTGTTTTATTGATTTTGGGTTTTACAAAAAAATGTAGAAACCTGGATGATACCGTCCAACATGTTGCCTCCACGTTCTGTAGACGTTTAACTGGTTCTAGTGTTAGAAGTTCTGCAGACTGAGACACAGTTTGTCTCTTTTCTGTTTTATGTTTGTCTCGTTTTTCTCATTTATTGTCTTGTTTTGTGTCTCATGTTTGTCGTTTTTTGTCTTGTTGCTTAATCTAATTTCCTCTTTGTCTTGTTTTGTGTCTCTTTTGTTCTCATTTTGTCTCATTTTCTGTCTTGTTTTTCTCATTTTTTTCATTTGTTGTCTTGACTTTCTTATGTATTGTCCTGTTTTTCCCTATTTCTCTCATTTTTCTCATGTTGCATCTCATCTTCTTATTTTGTGTCGTGTTTTCCTCATTTTGTCTGTTTTTTTGTCATTTATTGTCCTATTTTTCCTCACTTTGTGTCTCATTTTTCTCATTTTCTATCTTGTTTTTCTCATTTATTTGTCATTTTTCTCATTTATTTTCTTGTTTTTTGTTTTGTGTCCCAATTTTGTCGTTTCTTGTCTCATTACCTCATTTTATTTCCTATCTGTCCTGTTTTGTGTCTCTTTTTTCTCATTTTGTGTCTCATTTTCTTATTTTGTGTCTTGCTTTTCTCATTTTGTCGCTCACTTTGTCATTTATGTCTTGTTGCCTCATTTAATTTCCTATTTGTCCTTCATGTTTCTTTTTTTTCTCATTTTGTCTCATCTTCTCATTTTATGTCTTGTTTTTCTCATTTATTGTCTCGTTTTTCCTCTTTTGTGTCTCATTTTGTGCGTTTACTGTCTTGTCGCTTCATTTAATTTCCTGTTTGTCTTGTTTTGTGTCTCTTTTTTTCCCTCATTTTCTGTCTCGTTTTTCTCATTTGTCTCATTTCGTGTCTTGTTTTTCTCATTTAGTTTTTTTTTTTCTCATTTAGTGCATCTTTTTTTCTCATGTGGTCTCATCTTGTGTCTTGTTTTTCTCATTCGGAGTCTTTATTTTTTTTGTCATTTATTGTCTCATTTTCTCATTTCATGTCTAATTTTTCTCATTTTGTGTCATTCCACATTTCTTTGTGACATTTTTGTGAGGATTTTAAATGATCTCCTTGTTTGTAGCCTTGACAAACTTTTTCTCTCCATCGTCTGTATTAAGATGTTCCACCATCAGCTGGATGTATCGTCCAACTACTGGATCCTCTGTTCACTGGTTCTGATCCATGCTGCATTTGTTTATTGATCCAGTCGGTTGGATTTTGTCTCCGTCTCTTTGTGGAAACACTGCCTGCAGTTCAACCTGAAACTCTGGCGCTCGTCATGACTTCACAAGGAGTAAAGATGATTTGGTTTTTTTACAGGATTTTATTTTCGGTGACTTTCTAAACGAGACGTGTAGAATAAAGTGATTTTAATGAGTTTAAAGCTCAGATTTGGGTCATTTTTCAGACTTTTTTTTGCAATTTCTGGCCGATAGACGGTTTAGTCTTGATGCCTTTTTAAACCTGCTGGAGGGTTTTGGGGGAGTTTAGAGGTTTTAATAAACTACAGATTTGGTCCTGAGGTGGTTTTCGTCTGCAGGACAGGTGCTGAATAAAGGATGTTTGGTTTGAAGCAGCCGAGTGATGAATCAACAGTGGGTCATAAAAGCTGATTGAATTTGGTGCAGCTGCTGGCAGCGAGCGACTGCAGGAAGGAATGAAACAGCAAATCAGAGCCTGGAGTGCGTCGCCGCGTTCCAACCAAACGGACCTCGATGCAGGAAGATAAAGTTGATTTCTTGTTGCATCACTCCGTCCCAGTTTTATTCGCTCCTCTTACGTAATCTCTCATCGTATCCGGAGCTTCACCTTCTTGTCGTTTTTTTCTTTTTTTCCTCGCTGGGAGTCTTTTCTTTCCGAATCTCAGCCTCTAAAACTTGTTTCTTTTCTGCCTCCGTGCTGCTTCGGCTCATGAAAGATGCTCTGAAGCTGAGCCCGTCCTTCCTCTGGGAGTCTGTTTCTCAGCTCCGGTTTATAAATAGATTTACAAAGAACGAAACACTCCTGCTTTTGTTCCTCCACCCGCTCAGCGCTGCTCCACTTAGGCCTTATTTGGACTGATTTCAGGTTCTGGATTCACCAGATCGATCTTCTGCGAACGCGAGCGGCTGGAAGGAACCCTTCACTGCATCTATTAGCGTTTATCAGTGTTTTAGCTGCTGACGGTTCCTTTGGATGCATTTTAATTAAACTACAGTTTTGGGAGAAGCGCTCCAGTTTCACCACCTGTCAGGACCTTTTAACCGACCGAAGCCCAAAAAGCTTTGAAGAGAAGCACGTTATCGTTTTAAAAAGTCGCCGAAATGACGCCGTTTATCAGCCAGAACCTGAACTAATCCTGCGTTCTGGTCGGAAAATTAACCGGAGCTCAGCTTAGAACAGAGATATTTGGTTAAAATCACTTTGTTCTACATTTTAAAGTTCACTGAAGCTAAATCGTTTGCACACAGATGCTGTAAATACAAACAATCTGATTTATTATTTAAAAATGATTTACCATTTCAACATACATATTTTTCTTTTTTTTTTTAATCAGTAATTATTTGCAAAATAAAGATTTTCTTCCTGATTTAAATACAGTAAAATGTTTACAGTGAAATGTTGTGAAAGATCAAAATATTATTAATAAAAATACAGATTTTTGATGAAGTCATTATTTGCAGTTTAAATAATAATAATTTTAACGTTAACATGCAGATTAATTTATTTGTTCTGATTCTTTTTTTGATGTGATTTCATGAAACAGGGAAAATATCAGTTTATTTTTAATGTTCCAGTCCTCAGTATTGTCCAGTTTGTCTGTCTGTGTGTCTGTTTGTGTGTCTTTGTGGTCGTTGTGTCTCCACACACTACAGATGTTGAACCATTTACAGCCTCCACCAACACTTCCGTCTCCGTTCTGTTGTTTCGTGTCTCATTTTTATGGACTTTCTTCAAATAACAACAAATATTTACCATCCTTCATATACAGAATAATAATAATAATAATAATAATAATAATAAGCCAGTGCCTGTAAAATAACTCATTTTCAGCTGATTAAACATATTAAGAATCGTGTAATATTACAGCCAAATGCAGTAAAAGAATGAATCAGCGTTTATAGAAGGACGTTGTTCACAGTGTTTTAATGATTAACATATAATTTATACTTTATTTTTGTTTTATGAGATATTATCTGTAAAATAACAGTAAAGTGTTTTAAAAATGGTAAAAACAAACAAACAGAAAACATTTTTATTATATATTACAGTGAGCACGATGTTGAGGATGAAACTGTTGATGACGATGAGGATGAGGATGAAGATGATGAGAAAGAAACTGATGATGACGATGATTTTAAGGAGGATCAGTGTAATGAAGATGTTGAGGTTGATGATGACGATGATGTTATGATGAGGATGAGGATGATGATGAGAAAGAAACTGATGATGAGGATTGTGTTCGGGGTGATGAGGATGATGAAGATGATGATTTTGAGGATGGGGATGATGATGATATGATGAGGATGATGATGGAGATGAGTATGAGGAAGATGAGGTTTATGATAAGGTTGATGATGACGATTAGGATGATGAAGAATATGAGGATTGATAAGGATGATGATGATGATGTTGATGAGGATGAAGAGCGTTGTGTCGTAGCTACAGCAGCTTCAGGAACCTCCTCCGTGTTCCTGTCAGATGCTTTCATCAGGTTCTGCAGCTTCTTCTCTGGTTCTGGTTCTTCTGAGCCTGATGCTGGTTCTGTTCTGATGCTGGTACAGTCTGTGTCTGCTGGATGGTTCTGTTGGAGCTCTGCCTCCAGCTGTCTGCTGGGTAATCAGATTAAACCACCATCAAAAGTCTGCAGGGTAATCACATTACACTGGTAATTAGATGCCCGGTGGCTAATCAGATTACACTGGTATTTAAGAGTACTGGTAATCAGATCATTGGTTAGACATCTGCTGGGTAATCAGATTACACTGGTATTAAACGTCTGCTGGTAATCTCATTACACTAATATTTAAACCTCTGTTGGGTAATCAGATTACACTAGTATTTAAGTGTGCAGGGTAATCAGATTACACTAGTATTTCAGTGTGCTGGGTAATCAGATTACACTGGTACTTAGGTGTCTGCTAGGTAATCAGATTACGCTGGTATTTAAACCTCTGTTTGGTAATCAGATTACACTAGTATTTAGGTGTCTACTGGTAATCAGATTACACTAGTATTTCAGTGTGCTGAATAATCAGATTACACTGGTATTTAGGTGTGCTGGGTAATCAGATTACACTGGTATTTAGGTGTGCTGGGTAATCAGATTACACTGATATTTAGGTGTCTATTCGGTAATCAGATTACACTGATATTTAGCTGTACTAGGTAATCAGATTACACTGGTATTAAGGTTTGCTGGGTAATCAGATTACACTGGTATTTAGGTATGCTGGGTAATCAGATTACACTAGTATTAAGGTGTGCTGGGTAATCAGATTACACTGGTATTGAGGTGTGTGCTGGGTAATCATATTACACTGGTATTTAGGTGTGTGCTGGGTAATCAGATTACACTGTATTTTTTAGGTGTAATCAGATTACACTGGTATTTAGGTGTGCTGGGTAATCAGATTACACTAGTATTAAGGTGTGCTGGGTAATCAGATTACACTGGTATTGAGGTGTGTGCTGGGTAATCAGATTACACTGTTTTTTTTTAGGTGTAATCAGATTACACTGGTATTTCAGTATCTTCAGCTTTATTCTGTTACTTGTTTCTCTGTGAACCCTCTGAACTCTGAGCAGCTGATTTCTTCAGTCTGGACTCAGACACCACAGATATATGAAACTATTTCTATTTTTACAGACACAGTTTGTTTTCGTTCTGTTGTTTCGTCTCATTTTGTTTCTCGTTTTTCTCATTTCGTGCCACTTCTTCTTGCTTTAAGTCTCATTTTTTCTCGTTTTGTTTTTTTTCTCATTTCTCATCTTCTGTTTTTGTCTCATTTTTCAAATTTTGTTTGTCTCTTTTCTCAATTTTTTCTTTTGCTTTTCTCATTCCATGACACTTTGTCTCTCATGTATTTCATTTTTCTCATTTAGAATCTGACTTTTCTCTTTTTTTTCTTTTCTCATTCCGTGACACTTTTCTTTCCCGTATTTATTTTTTCTCATCATGCATCTCGCTCATATTATTCTCTGTCTAGTTTTTTTCATGTGATCTTGTTTTACTTCTGTGTCTCATTTTTCTCATCTCTTGCTTTTTTTTGGGTTTAGTTGAATTAGTTTCCCTGTTGAAGCTGCCCACCTCACATGGTTAGTTTAACAGTTTCTCACAGATAGATGGTTTAGTTTATTAACGTTAACCAGCCCGCGGGGTTCAGAGGGTTAACCGACCTGCTTCCTGTTCCTTCCTTCTGTCTGCTGAGTGTCGCCTGTTTGCATGAAGCCTCGTCCTCCTGTGATTCTGTGAACTCTTCCTTTATTTCTGCCTCTGCAGTACAGTAGATCTTGTCTTTGTATTTCTGTACCTGCTGCCAGATGGGGCCTGGATTGTTTTGGAGCTTCCCTGTGAAGTCGGGCTGCTCGCTTCCTCAGAGCCTCCTGCAGAACATGTACGTAGGTTCTACCGTCCACACAGGCCTCGTCTGAGCGGCCTGCGTGGTCCAATCCATCCATCCCGTCAACCAACCAACCAACCAGCCAACCAGTCAGTGTGTCACATGTCAAGCACGGAATCAGTCAGATTCATCCTCCAGTTATTCAACAACCGGAGCAGCCATCTGTCATCTGAGTATTTCAGACGCTGACTCTGGATCAGACTCGGGGAGTTCGTGTGGGAGCCGAGCCAGACCTCGAAAGTTCCTCCGAGCTGATCCAGGCGTGGCGCTGAGCTGAGGCTGCTGCAGCTTCACTCCTCGACCTTCATCCGTTACTGACGTTTCATTGGCTCCCGGTGAAATCAACAGCTAGCGACCGCGTTAGCACGACGCTAGTTCCTCTGCTGTTAGCTGTTAGCCGTTAGCTGATTGGTTGTTGGTCTGAGTGCAGGTTAGTGTTGCTCGACTCTCTGCCTGGTAGATCAGTCACCATGGATAGTTTTAAATATGCATAAGAAGCCCATATTTACATCACATTCAGTTATTATAACCTGGTGAGGATGCAAGATTATTTATTTTGACTAAAATGTAAGAAACTGAAATTTAACCATTTCCATTTTCACACTTTGTCTCCTTTCTGTTGTTTCATTTTTCTCATTTTGTTTCTCATTTTGTCTCGTTTTTTAAAATTTTCCGTCTCCTTTTTGAGTCAGTTCTCTAATTTTTCTCATGTAATTAACATTAACGGTTAATCTGGTGCAAATTCACGCAGACGGCTACAAAACAATAAGATAATTTTTCTCATCTTGTGTCTGATGTTTCTTGTTTTTCCGTCTTGTTTTCTCATTTTGTATTTGTGATTGTTTGCTTTATGTCTTGTGTTTCTCATTTTGTCTTTTCTTTCCTGTGTTGTTTTTCTCATTTCGTCTCATTTTTCTCATTTAACTAAAATTAACGGGTAGGGTTAGGGTCTACACAAATTCATGCGGACAACTACAAAACAAAAAGATCATTTTTCTCATTTTGTGTCTCATTTTTATTGTTTTGTCTCTTTTTTAAAAAAAGTTTCTGTCTCCTTTTTGAGTCAAATCTTTGTCTCGTCATTGTGTGTCTAATTTTACAATGTGTCTTATTTTTTTTTGTCTTTTTGTGTCTCATTTTCTCATTCTCAGTCTGGATTTTCTTGTTTTATTTCTTGTTTTTCTCATTTTGTCTCATTGTTCTCATGTAATGAGCGCAGACAGCTAGAAAACAAAAAGATAATCTTTGTGTTCACTTGTTTTATGTTTTGTGTTTCGTATTTTGTCTCTTCTTGTTGTGTGACTCGTTTTTCTTGTGTTTTCTTGTTTTTCTCATTTTGCCTCATTTGTCTCATTTAATTAACATTAACAGCTAATCTATACAAATTCATGCAAACAGCTACGAAACAAAAAGATACATTTTCTCATGTTGTGTCTCATGTTTTTACTTGTTTTTTGTGTGTCTTGTTTTCTCATTTGTTTTCTCATGTAATTCAAATGAACGGGTAATCTGTACTAATTCATGCGGACGATGACAAAACAGAATCGTCATTAAAAACCTGCAGAAACAGAACCAGCTGTAGAACAGACCTTTAGTTTTGCTTCCAGCTCTTTGCAACCTGCATCAAACTGACTGAACTAAAATGTCGTTGGTCGACCTTTAATAACCTCTGCGGTCGCAAAGAACGCAGCTAGCTGACGTTAGCTCGTCGATGCTAGCCGCAGGCCAAATGTCATTTTATTTGAATTGACGAGGTTTAAAAGCCGCTGCAGCGATTCAGCTTTTTTCAGGAGCGGCATTATCAATAACTGTATTGATCCCATATTGTGTTTATGGCGTAACTTCAGTCCTTCTGTGAAAACATTCAGGTCGAACACATTTCCTGGTTCGCTCAGAAACTCCAAAAAGTCGTTTATTATTTACATTTTTTTACTGATTTATATAAAACGTTTAAGTTTCAAACATTATTTTGATGGTTGACGTGATGATGTCGCATCAACTTATTGTTTAGTGTAGTTTAAAGTCAAATTAGTTGATTTTGTTGTGACAGTTTAAATATTATGTGTTCAAATACACAACTGCACTTGACCACATTTTATATTGTTGAATAAATTAATTTCTTTAAAGCGCGTATGAACAAAAACATTAAAAAAAAATCTAAATTTAAAAAAAAATCTAATTGGAACAACTTATTTTTTTGTGTACATAATTATGATAATTAAATACATTAAAAAATTTTAAAAATCCCTTTTAATATAGAAATACGAGTTTGAACTTCTTAATTTTTCTGCATAATCAACTCATAAAAATTAAAAACTTGTGTTTATATTCATATTTACGGTAATTAAGTCGATGTAACTTACAAAGTCCTTTTAAACAACATATAATAGTGAGAACAAATTAGTTTTAATTTCAGGTAAAAACTGTAATTTACTGATTTATATAAAAGGTGTTTAACACAATTTTAATGAGCCTTGTTTATTATTATTATTATTGTTATTATTGATAATAATAACATACAACATAATATTGTGTGTAATTTAGTTCAGATTTTTGTCTTCAGAATGTATACATAATGTGTTCAGAGACACAACTGTGTTTAAAAAATAAAAAGAAATTAATCAGACTTTTAAAAAATCCATTTGAATATCATGGAACAACTTTTTTTTTTCTTAGAAATAAACAACTTGTTAAAATTGATTTAAGCTGTTAGTCATTAACACCTTTCATATCCCTTCAGAGGTCCTTTACCTTCATGATATGGATTAATTATAAATATATGAATGATTCTAGTGATGGAAAAGCTGATTCCTTGAACTCGGTGCAGTTTGTTGGTTGAACATTATTTCATTAATCTTGATGCAAACTGAACCTAAACGTTGTTTTTTAGAGTTTGGGTTTGAAAGCAGCTTAACTGGAAGATTCTGGTTCTTATATTTGGTGAGTTTTGCTCTGATTTGCTGAAATAAATGGAGCATAAGAGCGAGTTACACAAAGAGACACAAAGAGACGCACACTGTTGTGTTTCCTCTATTCGCTGTCGGCTGACGGATGAGTCAGTGTGGAAGAACTTCATGTTCCACTGAGTCGGCATTAATATTAACATTATTAGAGGCTGCTGGTATCAACCGAATTATCGGTTATTGATCGGCCGC